TGAGTTGACTTTAATACTAACTTCTTGGGTTTTGAGTTTTAAGAAAATATTAACACTGAAGAGGGTCCATTTACTCATAAGTTTGACTCTAGTAAATGCCTCTTCTAATGTTCTGTGAGGTACACAAAGCATGCTTACTCCATTGTTGGAGTTTTTTCTTTTGATCAGAGCTCAAGCGACCTTTGTTAATCCATGCTTGGCCTTGTTTGGTACTCCAATTTCTAAGCCAAACCCAAGCAACTTGTATATGGCTTTTCTTGCATCGGCTCATTTTTGTCCCTATTTTCAGTGTTTTAATCTTGTTTATAAAAGAGATCTAACAGCTAAGGATTGCGTCCTTAGATCCTTACTAGAGCTAAAATGTTTTAAATGGCCTGTGTTGAGGCGTGCCTCAGTCCGAGGCGTTCGAAAAATGCAGCGAAGCATCCAAACCAGGGTGCGGTGCAATTGAGGCGTGGCGGAGGCACACTTGAGGCACGCCGGAGGCGCATGGCACTGTGTTTTAGGGTTTTGTTCCCCTTTTTTATTTTAGAAAAAGGTTCCCAGGGCCAAACCACGTCATTTTGACCTGTTTTTCAATTTTTAAAAACTCTCCTCTTGCAGACCCAAGGACGAGTTTCTCTCCCCTCTTTGCTGTGTGCGACTTCTCCCCCTTAAATTAACCCTAAAACCCCTAAAATTTTTGTATCACCCATATAGTTATAGATTTCGGCATATTCAAGGGAATTTTGCACCAGTTCCATATCACCCCTAAATTTAAGTTTGGTGGATCTTGTTGAAATATATGTTTTTTGCTTGATTGGTATAGAATTTTGGTTAAATGACAAACCTTAGTGGTTGAATTATTTGTTTTTCATTATATAATATATATTTATATTTATTATAATATTTCTAAGCATGAAAGGCTTATGCCCCAACGTGGTGAAGCACCATAAAATGCTTTGAAGTATATATATCTCTTAGGGTGCTTAAATAAAGTTCTTAAACGAGGTCTTGCTTATTAGCTTTTAAAGCAAAAATGGACTTTTGAGATGTATTGCATGCAACAAGCCTCTCAATTATCCATATCTGATCTAACGATTGAGCACACACATACATGGATGCGGTCTAACGAGGACTGGGACTTATGTCTCAGCCATTACACTTGGCTGCTTATATATGATCTAATAGTTGAGATGCAAGCCCTTATTAAATTTCACCATGTGCATAAGGATATGTGTATTTCTAATATATGATAGATACATTCGGCTTATTTTTATGAGTTTCATATTAGTTCTTCATTATTTATTTGACTTGTCAATAGCCCAATTAGCTATCATTTAATTTGGATATGGTTACTTTTAACTTTGTGTAATATGTAATAACTTTACTTAATATGTAACTTACTATACTGTTTTGAAGTTTTCATTTCTTCATTGCTATACCCGTGCCTGGCTCTGTGCTGAACCTTTTGAATTCACAGATTATGTGCCCATGAATATGAAACCCTCAACGAAGTGGCTTCCGCTGCCCTGGCCTATAAATGCATGGAGGTGGCATACATGAGGGTGGTTTACTGTAAACATTCTAGTACAAACAGAGATCGGCATGAGTTGCAAGCTACTCTCAATATAGCTCCTCCAGGTAATGGAGCAGGTTATGAATATATTCAGGATTCCAGGCTGATTTATGTGATGATCTTTTGATTTTGTTTCCAAGTTTCATTTCTGTTCTTTCCTTAGGAGATGCTTGCGATTTGAAGTTGTAAATCATCTGTTCTAGTTTAAACATCGATATTTCCAAACAATCATGTAGTTCCTCTTGCTTTTCACTGAGAATGGAATACCAAGCAACTCACACTTTTTCTCTTTTAAAACCCTTTACTGTTTAGGTGAGTCTCCATCGTCTTCTGCATCAGATGTGGATAACTTGAACAACCAAGTGATAGCAGAAAAGGCTGTATTGTCCAAGGGTACTGGTTCTCATGTTTCTGGAAACCATGTTGTTGTTGCTCGAAACCGCCCGAATTTTGCCAGGCTGCTTGACTTTGTAAGTTGATTTGATCTTGCACTCAGTCTCTATATGAATATTGTTTACTTCCTAAAGAATTGTTCTTTCAAGGTATTAAATTCATTTATTCAGGACTAAGGAGTCAGTACTATGAATCATGGATATATACTAGATAAAAGTGTCAGTGTCAAGAAATCTGAATGAGAATTGCCAGCTACTGGCTAGTGCATGTTGTCCTAGATTAGCCAATTGTTTGTTATTGGAGTTTCAGCGGACAAAAGACCTTTTAATGAATGAAAGCCTCCAAGTTGACCCTTTTTTTTTTCTTTTTAAAAAAAAAACATACAAGCATCTTGAGTGACTTGCAATTATCATGAAAATTATTTTCAGGTATATGAACTTTCTTTCTGGACAGCCAATTTAATGCATGTCTATGACTTTTAGTTGGTTGGCTTTTGATGCTCATACTGGATTTCTTTGCTTCCATTTTTTACATGGTTAGTTGGATTATGAAGTCATAGGCATCATGTAGGACCAGTAAGATACCGACGCACAGATGATTGTATGGCATGGTTTTACCAGGGTGTTACAAGAGGGTAAGATTAGTATGTATTATTTTGCAGACACAGGATGTAAATTTTGCAATGGAAGCCACAAGAAAGTCCCAGATTGCTTTTGCAGCTGCGTGCACAACCCTGGAAGATGCACATAAGAATGATTGTATTTGTTCTATTAAGAGGGTCATTGATTTCAGCTTCCAAGATTTAGAGGAACTCATCCGTCTGGTTAAGCTTGCAATGGAGGCCATAAGTCGATCCAAATTTGGTGGTGCTAGAGACTAAGTCAACCCTGTATATATTGGGCATTTTTATGGTTTCTCTCCTAAGCAGGCAGGATGCCTACGTGGACCGTCACTTGAAATCTGCAAGGAGGCGAGTCACTGACAGTTTATTAGCCTTCTGTACATGTGTACAAAGTGAGATTGATTAGCAAATTTTGTAATGTATTTTTTTTGCAAGTCTAGTCTATTCTTGACGTGGATAAGGGCACAGCATGCTCACCCATAGTTTTCATGGATTGGGAAAAGAGGAAATGAATTAATTGTTCTCCAGCGCAGCTCAGAGATTATGTAATAGTTTAAGTTATTTTTGTTTTTTGGCTCCTGTGATTTGGAGCTTGAGGGTAAAAAAAAAATATCTATAGAGATTGGATGATACTCTTAGGCAACCATTTTGAGGAGGTTGACTACTGATATAGTGGTGACTGGTCAAAGCTCTATCAAGCATTTTCTGTTTTGTTACTATTTATTAAAATTTTGATGGAATGGAAACCAAATTCTTGGACAAGGTTGCCTTTATATTTGTAGGAAAATCATCAAGCTTAAGCTTTCGTGTATAGATTGTGCCAGCTTTCCAAGGATATGAAATTTAATCTTCAGGTACGTAATCTTTTACTTCACTATATTAGGCAATAATGGAGGAAATCTCTTTCCCATAATAAACTTTTCAGTATGTTGAGTTTACCGTGGGAATTTTTATGTTAGTGTAGGTGACCGTGATAATTAAAGAGCTTCGGTTGTTTCACTTGGGCTCTGAGCAGTTGCTGAGAAGTTCAGACTTGTGACCTACATGGAGTACGCACTCTAGGACCATCATTGCATGTGAGTTCAAGTATATATTTGCTATTTAATTTTCAGTAAGAAGATTTATATGCTGTGTTCATAAACCATAACTGTAATTCACTTATTTGGTCCTAGTGTTGGTCAGACTTGTTTGCTTATTGGGTGGCAGTATTTTGGACAGTTTAGTTATACGTGCAGTAACTGAGTGCAAATGCTCATTGTTTTCCAGGCACTCTAGTGATCGGTTTTCCTACTGTTTTCACTTATATTTCATGCAGTGTCATTCGTTAATTTTAGAAGCTTGTATTGTGCTAACATATGCCATTTGATTGTTTGAGTTATCAATGTTATATTTATAATGAGGGAATGAGGTTCTGGCGAATATGTTTCATGATGTTGTAGATCTTATGTATGTTGGTAACTCATATGGCTGCTTTATTGAATTTCAGTGCACAACAGTTTTGGAGTCCGGTTATCATTTATTTAACACTAGGTTTTAAGGCAGCTTGCCTCGAGGAGGGTGATCATATACACTGCTTTCACTAATCACTCGCCCGTAATTCCATGGTGGTGCTCTCTCTCTCTCTCTCTCTGATTTTGTGTCCGATTATATACAGCCAGTTCGTTAAGTTATGTTAAAAGTAGCAAGTCCTTTAAGTAAGTTTTTTTTGTTGTTTTTTTTTTTTGTGGGGAAGGGGGGGGGGGGGGGGGGGGGTGGGGGGGCTGTAGGTTTTACCAGACAGGCAAACAGTTTGTTGATTTCTGTTTTGCTTTGAAATGATAAGACATCCTTTTTAAGAAGATTATTATTGTTGTTAAATTTGTTCTTTTATCATGGGGAAGCAGGATATTTTCCAATGGATCATACAGGTATTGAAGCGGTGTTATTGTGATGATTTTGATCAAGGAAAGCGGTATCTTGGTTGGTTTAGGAAGAAGGATATGGGTGCTTTGGCTTCGTTGCAGGCAGCAGCATTTGCTTGTTATTGACATAACGTATTTTCTGTACACTTTTGCTTTTTTGTTTTTATTCCAATATTCAATGTTCTTTTCAGTGCGGGCTAAATAAAAAGCATATGCTGAGTTGCCGCCAGAATTCTGTGCAATATGTATCATTCATGAACAATAATGATTAAAGTAATAATAGAGCTATCAGGCTTTCTTTAACCTTCGAGTTATTTGTTCTTATCATTGTTCATTTAATTATGTACCCGCATTGTCTTTTACGAAAAATGATAACTTGAGAAGAAAAAATTGGTGCTTTTTTGTTGCATTTTCAAATCTGTTCATGGGTTTTCAAATTTTCATGTCCCTTGTGGAATTAATTAAACAGTAAATATTCCTACTTCCATTGAGATTGTTAAGGATATACACAGAAATCGGATGTTCATCACCAAAAATCCCTACAAGTGCAAGAACCACTTTTAAAGTGATGAAATCTGTTTACATCTCTAACAACGAATTCCCTCTCAACAATGTCACTAATGAGCTTGAAAGCCTCATGACAGTCCCTACACATTCTCAGGTTCTTCATTATTCTAATGGTGACTCCTTTTGGTATGCTTACCAACGCAAAACCCAATGCCAATCTCTCACTGTGCAGACCTACGATTGCCTCCTTGGCTTCCTCCTCCACGTCAACAAATACCAATCCCCTACTCCCTCCTACATAGCCTCTTTGTTTCATTTTGCCCTCCAACTCCCTCAACAAAGTCACAACCTCACTCCCCTGTGCGCACGATGACACATCTCCGGCATAGAACACATAACTTGAATCCTTCAACTCAACCCAACTGCAACCGGGTTCTTTTTGCACCCCGGTACGCCTCATTTCTGATCGAAGATCATGAGCAGTTTCCCACTCCCCATTCAAGGTATAAGCATTTGATAATGTAACATATGCACCTACTACTTGTTGATTAGAATCTATTAGTCGTCGACTAGCTTCAACTGCAATATCTACCCTTCCATGAAGCCTACTTGCTGAAAGAAGTGTGCCCCACAACAAGGCCTCTTGGTTGGCCTCTGCTTGGATAGATTTGGCTAGTTCGTAAGCCTCGTTAAGCCGGCCTGTTCTACCAAGCATATCAACAATGCATGTGTAGTGCTTTGCAGTTGGGGTTATTCCATGTTTCTCATGCATAGATTCCAACTGCTGGAGACCTTCATCAACAAGCCCTGAATGGCTACAAGCATGCAAGACCCCAACGAAGGTGACATCGTTGGGTTTTATTCTTCTATCGATCATTTCTTGAAAGAGTTGAAGAGACATTCTCCCGAGTCCATACTTTGCAGCAGCCACAATCATTGAAGTGTAGGGTATTACAGAGGGATTTTGGATTCTCCTGAAAACCTTGTCAGAATACTCAACGCACCCACATTTAGCATACATGTCCAGCAGTGCACTGGCAATCACAGCATTCGAATCATAGCCACCACGAATTACCGCTCCATGTGCAACTTTCCCAGAAACCAACCTACCCAAGCTTGCACAAGCATTGACAACACTAGCTAACATAAAATGATTCGGACGCTCCAACATCAAACGATTAAATTCTCTGAAAAGTTGGAGCGCTTCATCACCCTGTGCATTTTGGGCATAAGCAGCAATAATTGAAGTCCAAGAAACAACATTCCTACAACCCATCAAGTCGAAAACCCGCTGGGCATGGTCGACATCATTGCACTTCCCGTACATATCAACCAGCGAAGAGCAGACAACAAGGTTGGATTGAAATCCCAAAAGTTCAACAAGCGCATGAATTTTTTTGCCAGTTCTAAGTTGAGCAAGAATCGAACACGCATTAATCACAGTGGCAAAAGTGAACTCATTGGGCAGAACAGAACACTCGGGCATTTTCCCAAAGAGCCACAGAGCCATTCTGGGCTGACCCGTATCGACGTAACCGACCATGAGCGAAGTCCATGACACGACGTTTGGTTCAGGCATTTCATCAAACAACTGGCTTGCAAGGTCAATTCTATGGAGTCTGACATAGCAATTGATGAGATGGTTGGTGGTGAATGTGTCGTATAAAGACCCAGACTTTATACCGTTGGAATGTAACGACTTTGCAGAATCGGAATCTTTGCAGCTCCGGAGCTGTTGTATGAGATGAGAAGGTGACAATTGATTTTGGCGGGAAAGGTTGGAGGCGGTGAGGGCAGAAATGAGATTTTGGTTTAACGGCTTTCTCATCTGTCTCGCGCGCTCTCGCAATGGAAGCTCTTTCGGGGTTATGTTATCGTCTTACAGCTAAACGACGACGGATTGGTCGTAGCTGTTATATTGTCCCTGCCTTTGAAAGAGAAAAGTTTTAATTTATGGGATCGTAATTCAATTATTGTTTAAAGAAATTTTATTAAATAAAGTTAAATAACACAATTAATGCGTAAACAAGTAAATGTCGAGTAAAAAATACAATTAAGGCATAAACATCTAAATTCCGAGTTGTGCCATCTTCTATACATTTTTATAGTGCTTATTATTTTTTAATAAAATATCTATTCCAACGACAAAAAAGAAAAAGTAAATTCCGAGTTGGAAGCACGTGAAACCTTACCTTGCCTTTAGCTTTTGACATATCCGGCTCACAATGCTTGCGCAAACAACAAGATTAATCATTTAATTGGAGGTTGATTGATAGTGCCCAAGTCTTCTATCTTTTCAGAGAAAAAAGAAGAGTGCACAATCATCCAAAGGTAGGTTGAAGTCCGTAACTAAAAAAAAAAGCAACCCACTAGAGTCAGCAATGCATAGTATAATAGCTTAGAGGTGGCATTTTAGATCGAAAAATCGTAAAAATTAACTGATAATTTACCGCAATAGAACCGCACTTGTGGGAAACCGAACAACATTTGTGGTTGCGGATACACTATTTGATTTTCAAAACTTGCGGTTACCGCAAACTGCGGCTATATTTTAAAAAAATAATTGCATTTTGTAGATAGCATTGGTGCTCAAATAACACAACGGGGTCCTTCAAATTCACTCACCACCACCAACACTTGAGTTAGTAACTTTAATTTGTAACATTGGTGCATTGCATTTTCCTTTTAGTTTGTAACTTTAATTAATTTTGAATTGGATTTTTCCTTTGGTTTGTAACTTTAATTCATTTGCATTGCATTTTTCTTTTGGTTTGTAATTTTAAAGGATTTGGAATTGGAATGCTTGAGAAGTTGAGATTGTGAATGCTTAAGAAGTTTAACTTTAATTGGAATGCTTGGAATTGTAACTTTAATTTTCTTTAGGTTGTGAATGCTTGAGAAGTTGAGGAGGTTGTGAATTTATATATGCTTGAGAAGTTGAGGTTGTGAATTTATTTATTTAGGTTGTGAATTTATATTTTTGGGTTAAAGTGTGCTTGAAATCAAAAGGCTTCAAAAGAAGCATCAAAATTAGGCCTAAAATGTGGAAGATTGAATTTTTATGACACAAAAAGAACTTGGGGTTTTAAACCGCTAATTCACGGTAACCGATCACTTTTTGCGGTCGGTTTGCGGTTTGGGCAAAAATTCGCGGTTACCGAACCGCAACCACCCTTATAATAGCTACATCTCTATTTATGTATGCTTTGGAATTTCTCCCCTATACGTTTTCCTCAATTCCTCATCCACTATCCTTTCCTAAAATTTTGTTAGGGCAATTTTTAGTTCATTATGTTTTTGGACTTCACCTTGGGCACATTCAGAATTTGAAAATGTCTAAAACCGAAATCTAGTTCCTAATTAAGTTTTTGAGTCCAAATGGTTCCTAGGACAACCTCATGGGACAAACCCTAGAGGAGAAAAGAATACCACATATGTCATGGACCAATAAATAAAAAACATATCAAAAACGAAAACTAACACAAAGACCTCTTGTATGTTCCTGCCTTCTATAAAGTACAATGCCCCAAGTAACCCAAATTAGCAAAATAAAATAAATGGGAAAGTATTTGTCTCCTTCATGTAGAAGGAGACATTCCTCCTTTTCCGCAAATTATTGCAACAACTTTTTTTTATCCGTTTTTAATAAATTATTTTTATATATGTGTTAAATTATGATTCAAAGTTTAGGTGGAGAAAGAAATGATGATAAGACTGTTTTTTTGGTCTGCCAAAAATGAAGGCATCTGAATAGCAATTGAGACAGGCCCCTACTAATATCACCCATATAAGTCCGCCACAACAGACAATTGAGTGTACTACCGCCACTGTTAGATTCCTTTCTCTCAGAAGAAAATTCTACTGCATCACATCATCACATCACATGTTTCATAACAAAGATAAATAAATAAATAAATAAATAGGATAAATTTCATTATCCTACTCATAAGTTTACGAGATTCAAACTTTGCTACATGAATTTTTTTTCGTGTCTACTTTATACCTAAAATTTAATGTTCTTACAACTTTCATACCTCCATTACTATGTCCATCAAATCTTCGTACCTAAACTTTGATATTAACCAATACCCTGCCTGTCATTACTCATTTGGTTGAGCCTCTGGTCTAATGGGATACATGTATGACTTATGACTTAATTTGTAAAGTGCATAATGTAGGTCCCCAAAAACACACAACCAATTTCTGATGCAACAACAATACCAATATTAAATAGAAGCCACTTAAACAAAGTTGCCTACATGTATGCTTTTTCTCTCCCTATAAATACAGGCTTCCGCAGCACTTGAGCTACCAAGTAGAACTAGCAATCAATAGGATTTGATTAACTTTGTTGCCTCCAAATTTTGTGCTTCCATGGCCCCAATACCCATCTCCTCCATCAAGGTTGGCCACATTGATGATGTCCAAGAACTGAGAAAGACTAAGCCCACCATAATTCCTGACAGATTTGTAAGGGACATGGCTGAGAGGCCAACTCTGGCCCCTGCCATGCCATGCTCTAGTGACATTCCCACAATCAACTTCTCAAAGCTTTCGAAAGGAAGCAAAGATGAACTCGAAAGTGAAATTTCTCAGCTTGCAGCTGCCTGTGAGAACTGGGGATTTTTCCAGGTACAAATTTACATTAAAGTTTTTTATGTTACTGGCTTTGAAAAACATGGTGAAATGGAGGATAATGATCTGTGGTGACTGTACATGACAGGTGATAAATCATGGGATTGATCTGAGTCTGCTTGAGAGCATAGAGAAAGTGGCTAAGGACTTCTTCATGCTACCTTTGGAAGAGAAAAAGAAGTATGCAATGGCTCCTGGGACTGTTCAGGGATATGGGCAGGCTTTTGTGCTATCAGAGGACCAAAAGCTGGATTGGTGCAACATGTTTGCTCTTGGGGTTGAACCCAACTTTATAAGGAACCCCATGTTATGGCCAACAGAACCAGAAAAGTTCAGGTAAAAAGTTTTGCTATGCTTCGAAGTTTATTTATTAGTCTCTTGTTCTTAATTAAGTCTAAAGTGTAAAGTCTAAACCTTTTTCTTCCACTAAAGTGGAACTGTAGAGGTTTACTCAAAAGAAGTAAGGAAACTGTGCCAGAATCTGCTGAAATACATAGCCATAGGCCTTGGCTTAAAAGGTGATGTGTTTGAAAAGATGTTTGGGGAGACTGTGCAAGCCATAAGGATGAACTATTACCCTCCATGTTCAAGACCTGACCTTGTTTTAGGTCTAAGCCCACATTCAGACGGAAGCGCCCTCACAGTGCTGCAGCAGGGGAAGGACACGTCAGTAGGACTTCAAATTCTCAAAGAAGACAGATGGGTTCCTGTTAAGCCCATCCCTAATGCACTCATAATCAACATTGGTGACACCACAGAAGTGAGAAAATATCTTCAATTTGATCTTGTTATAGTTTCTTTTTCAAATTTTGGTATCTATCATTTTTGTTTTTTTATACAAGCGATAGTCTAAACTACAAGGGTTACACACACACACTATAAGGTGTCATGGAGGTTTAAACTTGAAACAATTGGTCTGCAAGTTTGCCCTTTTTCACTGGGCTAGACCCTGTTGGCGTATCTGGGATATATTAGTTTCTAATATCAAAATAAATGCAGGTTCTTACAAATGGGAAATATAAGAGTGTGGAGCACAGAGCAGTGACTCATAAGGAGAAAGACCGCCTTTCAATTGTGACATTTTATGCTCCTAGCTATGAGATAGAGCTTGGACCTATGGAAGAATTGGTGGATGAAAACAACCCATGCAAGTACAGAAGATACAATCATGGAGAATACAGTAAACACTATGTAACCAACAAGTTGCAAGGCAAGAAAACCTTGGAGTTTGCCAAGATTTAAAACCAAAAACTCAAACTAGTTAAAGAAGGCCCCATTCAGTCCCCCACCCGATCATTAAACTCTGTACACACTGTTTCATTGTAATATGTTCCCAGTTCACCAAATCTTGTAAATTTCAGGCCCAAAAAGAAAAAGCTAGTTGGTGCTTATGTATGTCAAACAAGTGCAAATTATTGAGCTGCACTGTTCATGTGCAACACAATTTGTACAAGCCTACCAATCAATTGAAGCCTTGTGGGGTCTTTTGTGTTTACAAGCTTTTCTTGTCAATTTGTCTGTCTTTGATGGCCTCATTGAACTAGCAGTACTTGTAAGCACAAGGAAACAAGAATCAAACAGAAAAAATGTCACTTTTTACTGTTTTCTATATAAGATTCTTAATATACAAAGAAAGAAGCATGCAATGCAATCATATGGAGGAATCAAAGACCAAACACCAAAAGAAAACGGACAACAATAATCCGGTCTTCCATTGTCGAAGGGAAAAGAGGGTGAGCTTTTTCTCAATGGTGGGAAATGTCTGGAAAATTTTGCTGTTCACATTATTGGGGTGAAGGAAGAAGCACTGAGCAAGTTGTGGCGTGATGGGTTTTTTTGTTTTTTTTTTGTTGGTTGATTCAAAGCTGAAATGACAAGTGAGTGCTAACAACAAGTAGAGCACAAAGCTAAGCTCAAACATTCATGACATGAGAGGTGAGGTAAACAGAGGAAACAATGTTTGTTTGCTGCCTGCTTGTAATTGCTCTGTGCCCACTACAAAGTTCTTTGTGTTAATAAAATAATGCTAAAGTGAAAACAAAGCTGGAGACCTACTTGGCAAAGGAAGTACCTGCGTGAGAAAATTCAGACCAATAAATCAAGCATGACCTATGCAACTTGAACAATGTCACTAAGAAAAGCAAATTGATGATGCAATTTGTTTAGTGGAATAAATTAATTAACTAACCAAGA